TTTGTGTGTGTGTGTGTGTGTGTGTGTGTGTGTGTGTGTGTGTATGCGTGTGTGGGGTGTTTTTGAGAGAGGGTCTCCCTGTAGCCCAGCTGGCCTGGAACTCACTATGTAGACCAGATTGGCCTTGAACTCAGAGATCTGCCTGCCTCTCTCTCCCAAGTGCTGGGATTAAAGGTATGTGCCACCATACCCAGCCTGTGAATTTTTTTTTTTTTTTCTTTTGGTCTTTTTGAGACAGGGTCTCTCTGTAGCCCCAGTTATCCTGGAACTCACTATGTAGACCAGGCTGGACTTGAACTTACAGAGATCCACCTACCTCTGCCTCCCGAGTGTTGGGATTAAAGGCGTGTGTCACCACGCCCAGCTGTGAATTTCCTTTTTAAGAAATTAGGTACTTAGTGAATTTCTACATGTCTAAAACACTCTCTGGATAAAGATATAAAATAGTTACACAAGGTTCATTTGTATCCTTTCCAGTCACTGTGCATTCATGTGTGCCTACAGGAGTTATGTGTACCTGGCAGAGGACCTTGAGCATGCTAGGCAAACATTCTCATTAAGCTATACCCCCCAGTCCTGTAATATTTCAGGACTGTGTTTTGGATTTAACCAAAATGCATGAGACCTAGAGAGGAAATGTTCTCTGATAAATTAAGCAGCCAGAAATCCATACAGCCTTAGGCATAAGTAGTTAATCTGACTTTATCATATTGAGTATTACACTGTCTGTTTTTCAGAGCATTCATGTTTTAATTAACTTTAAACTTTTTTTAATGTATTTAAAGATATTTGTCACCTAAATCAAATTTGTCAGCATCACAATCTGAAGTTGTGCTTGAAGAAGACAAAAAGTCCTTCTCTAAGGTATGTTAGTGCCCTGAGGTCATTTACTCTTGCTATGGGTTACTAGTATTGGGGGTCAGCAAACTTCTCTCTGAAGGGCAAGATGGAGATGCTGTTGTCTTTGTCATCAGTCAGGATTATGCCACAGCTTTCAGCTATGCTGTTATAGTGTAAATGCATCCAAAGTAAAGATATGAACAAGTGAGCTTATCTGTGGTCCAATAAATCTTGTTTTTCAGAAATAGCCAGCAGGCTCAATTTGGTCCATGGGCCATAGTTTCCTGATCACTGATAAAGATAGTAAAGTCTTCGTTTAGCTTCAAGGGCCACTGCACACATATAGTGCACTTACATACATGCAGTTAAAACATGCACATTAAAGCAGGCATGGTGGTGCATGCCTTTAATCCTAGCACTTGGGAGACAGAGGCAGGCGGATCTCTTGTGAGTTCGAAGCCAGCCTGGTCTACATAGCGAGTTCCAGGTCAGCTGGGGCTACAGGGAGACCCTGTCTCAAAAAGACCAAAAAAAACATAGTAAATTCATACTACTGAGCAGGTTTACAACTGACATCAGCTTTACCTAGAAGATTTTAAGATGGAAAGCAGTTGGTTTTAGGGCGGTCAGTTACACCTTCACAGCAGTCCTCACAGCTGACTAAGATCCCAAGTAATGGCCTAGAAATCAGACCAAACTGGAGTGTGGGAACCACTCAAACCCCATGTAAAGAGTCCCTTGTTTCTGGGTGTGGTGGTGCAAGCCTGTAATCCTAGCACACGGGAGACTGAGGCTGGAGGATCATGAACTGAACTGTGTAGCAAAGTTCTAGGCCAATTTGGACTACATAGTAAGACTATCCCCAAAACAAAAAAGTCAGTTATTTTTAGTAATAACCCATGAGTGTGGCCTCCATGGGTCCTGTTAAGAACAACCTGGTCAAAAGAGTTGTAAGTCACTTCAAGCTTTAGTGGCTTTTCTTTTTTTGAGACAGTGTCACTATGTAGACCAGGCTGGCTTCAGTCTCATGGAGATCCACCTGCCTCTGCCTCCTGAGTACTGGGATTAAAGATGTGAGCCATGAGGCCCAGTAAGCTTCATCTTTCTATGGAGATTTATAAAACATGCAGCCCTAGCACAGATGCAGTTCACTGGTCAGGAACTTTTGTACCATAAGCTGTGTGACTTAGTAACACAAGTGACATTTCACTTTTGTTATATTTAACTCTTTGCTTATAGGTTCTTGGTGCTTTGTTTTTTCAATTCATTTAGGTAATTAAAAATCTGTGTGTACATGATATGGAGTGGGGGGGTGGCGTGCCATGGTACACATGCTGAGATCAGTGGACAACTTCTAGAGCTTGTCTCTCCTATCTAATTGCTAGGTTCCAAAGATCAAGCTCAGGCCCTTGGGCTTTTGGAGCAAGCACTTTTATGTGCTAAGCCATCTCAGTCCAAACTGAGTGATTTTATACTGCCCAACATTTCATGGATATTTACCAAATGTATGTGTTCTTTAATCTTCACTTTAACTGCCACCTCTATACAGTAATTATCATTGTGTCCATTTTACAGCTAAAGACACTAAGGCATAAAGCACTTCAGAAACTTGTTTAAAGTCCCTTGAGTTAAAGTCAGTCAAGGGGAGAATTCATGGTGAGATACCATAGTTCATACTGGAACTCTGGTTTGGTGAGAGAGACATTATAAGCTAGGATATTTCTCCTACTCCACTGTCACAATCAAGTAAAACTAAGTGAAATCTAGAATTGGCCAATCCAAACTGCATTGATTTATTATAAGACTATAGGAATCAGAACTTCTATCAGGAAGGATTACTAGAAAGCAAAGATTGACTAAAGAACAGGTGTAGCAGGCCTGGTAGCAAGTCAGTATTCCCAGCTACTCAGGAGGCCGAGGCAGGACAATCTCAAGTTCAAGTTAAGTTCTTTACCTAAGGTCTTTTATCTAGACCTTAGCACAGGTATTGGCTAAGAATGGTGGCTTGTGCCCATGATTCCCAGGCTTGAGACACTAAGGCAGAAGGATTGATTATTTATTTATTTTGGTCTTTTTGAGACAGGTTCTCCCTGTAGATCCAGCTGTCCTGGAACTTGATATGTAGACCATGCTGGCCTCAAACTCACTGAGAGCCTCCTGCCTCTGCCTCCTAAGTGCTTGGATTTTGGGTGTACAACCACCATACCTGCTTTTATGCAGTGCTCGCGATTAAACTCGGTTTCTTGTATACTAAGGGGGCATACACACTACCAATTGAACTACATCCCCAACTCCCACACATTTATTTTTAAACATAATAATCTTGTTAACTTCCTTTATAACTTCATGTATCTCTGGTTTGCACTTGGAAGGCTAAGTGATACTGCAGAATTTCTTGTCCAAGAGGTTCAGATGAGCCTGGGAAGCTATTCAGGTCCTATATCAAAAATAAATATTCTCAGAAGAGGTCAGTCTAGAAGTTTTATTAAAATACCAAAGAAGAGCTACAACACAAAAAGGGTAAACCCCTTGGGCTCTAAGTTTATAAGATAAAAGAGGTCAGGTACTGCTATTGGCCATGTGTTAAACATAGTTGAGGTTTTCTTGGGAGTGAAAATGAATTCATGTCTTAATTTTACTTGGCATTCAGAGTTAAAATAGGATTAAATACTCATACACATAAAAAACAAAAATAAAATACTTAAAAATTGTGATGGGCATGGGTTGCAATCTTCGATACTGCCAAAAAAGAAGAAAAGACAGGTGTGTGTTGGTAGCAGGTGAAATGGAGAATGTGCCAGAGTAGAACTGCTGGATAGGGTTGGTGCCAGATCAGCTCTGGTGTCAGTGCAATCAGACTTATAGGTCATGGCTTGGTGTTTTCTCCTTATACACTCAGTATTTTTGTTTTCTACAGGAAATTGACAGTAGCGACATGAAGAGCCCTATGTGGCAAGACTCAGAAATTGAAAAAGATATGCTAGCACTGTCTTCACAAATGTGCCTTGAAACTCGGGAACAAGGTGCAGAGTCACCTGTGCTGGGGTTATTTGCCCACAATACAAAACAGTGCCTTGAAGAAAAAGTCAGAACAAGATCAAACAATCCTAATGATTTATGTGTTGCAAATCATGAGGGACCTAGAACTGAAGAAGCTGTAGTTAAGCCTTGTGGCAGAACAGAAACCACCGAGGACACTGTATCCGGTGTGACAGAGTTAACCGAGGACACTGTATCCGGTGTGACAGAGTTAACTGGGGACAACATAATTCCCACAGAAAATATTAGAGAGTGTCAACTACTGGTCAATGAAGATGGTTTCAAAAGAAAAAACCAGGAATCTATGTTTGAAGTGTTCACGGATCCATGCTTTTCTTCAAAGAGAAGGAAAATGTTCCCTAAATCCTCAGATCAAGAAGAAACAGAAATTAATTTTACACAAAAACTGATAGATTTGGAGCATCTGCTTTTTGAGAGACATAAACAAGAAGAACAGGACAGATTATTAGCGTTACAACTTCAGAAAGAGGTGGATAAAGAACAAATGCTGAACCGGCAAAAAGGATCCCCAGATGGGTATCAGTTGCGTGCTACATCCTCGCCACCAGACAGATTGCTAAATGGACAGAGGAAGACTCCTAAAGATAGAAACTCCAGAAAACAAACAAATACAGAGTATTTAAAACCTCAGAGGAGCTCAACAGATAAAAATTGGCAACCTTTTAAAGTCCAGTTGAAGCATTCCGTTAATGGAAAAAAGATTCCAAATTCTACTAGAGATAATTGTGATGTATCTAAAAGTGCTCATTCCCTGAAGCCTTGTAATTCACAGAAAAGTATTTTTCAAATGTTTCAGAGATACAGCAAATAAAGCATGAATTAAAACTGCTCTGTAATCTAGTAAAGCTGGATTGTGAAGCTTTTCCATTGTAAAATCTATAGATGTGGGGCTGGAGAGATGATCTAGCGGTTAAGAACACTGACTGTTCTTGCAGAAGACCTGGAGACAAATCCCAGCACCCACGTAGCAGCTAACAACTGTCCATAACTCCAGTTCCAGGGGATCCAACAGCCTCTTCTGTCCTCCACCGGTATTGTACAACACGGATACACTTACCTACATGCAGGCATAATACACACATAAAAAAAATCTATAGATGTATCATTAATTCCTGCTTGGCAAGCACACTCATTTTCTTTAAAGGTATAATTACTAAAGAAGACTCTGCAGTCCTTAAGAATCCTTTCATTGTCAGTAGCTGATGTATACTAAGCTGGACAATCTTTGTGGGTATAAAAATGCCTTAGTCTTGCTGGGCGTGGTGGCACAGGCCTTTAGTCCTAGTACTTGGGAGGCAGAGGCAGGTGGATCTCTGTAAGATTAAGGCCAGCCTGGTATACATAGTGAGTTCCAGGTCAGCTGGGGCTACAGGGAGCCCCTGTCTCAAAAAAAAAAAAAAAAAAAAAAGCCTTAGTGAAGAAGTGTCAAGGTGCCATTCCCTTTCCAAGAACCCATGTTTTGTGAAAGTCTTGTCTTTTTGTCATGAATAATGACCAAAGCATGATGACATTCTGGCAGGTGGTGGAAGAATCCACAGAGGGTTTAAAATTCTAGGTTTTCTTGCTACTTTCCCTTGTATTTGTAGACCATTCAAAACATATCTTCCATAACACTAAAGTAATCCATTTTCATTGCTGCTTTAAATTCTAAGCATTATAGCAGTTCCTGTAATTTAAAATGATTGGAATCAACATCAGTTCAGAGTTTTCTAGGAAATTGGAATTCATTTAGCACAAAGACAGCAGCTGTTAATGTGAAAGGGTTTAAGAATGGGAGGGGACTAAGTCGGGGATTGGCAAATGGGGGGGGGGGGGATCATTGGAACTGAATAGGTAATCAGAAAAGGTCCAGAATGGAGACTAAGTGTCTTGGCAGAACATTCTCTTTGCTAAGTGAAATAGAAAACATTTTGGTTTTAAAGCTTTTCACACCATTGTATGGTATCTGTAGTGAAAATAAAAATTAGTATATGAACTTTTGAAAATAACTTTGTTTCTTCCAGAAAAGGAATCTGTTGTGGAGTAACCATGTGTTAATTTCCTTATTTGTATTGGTATAAAAGTGGTTTCATTTCATTTGTGAAATTTAGCTTAGACTGCCCTAGTCCAAATGTTAACCTTAATTTATCTGCATATTTATGTTATTTGAGTTTTCCAGATTTTGTGATTGTTTTGATGTTGACCTTTGCATAATTTATGGCATTCATGTGAATCTTATTAGAGGTAGAATTCTGCTAATTTAAACTTCAGTTTACCCTTTTTTAAAAAAAAAAATTGCCCTCTGAGTAATGATTGTAGTGAAATGTCTGAAACTATAATCAAATTTGTTTAAAGCAGACTGAAATCTCATCACTTTAGTCTTTTTTTTTTTAATCCCTTGTTTTTATCTTATGTGTATGAATGTTATTGCCTGCATGTGTATAAGGGCATCCATGTTGTGCAATGCCTGAGGAGGTCAGAAGAGGGTGTCAAGAGTCCCCTGGAACTGGAGTTACAGTCGGTTGTTAGCCACCATGTGGGTGCTGGGAATTGAACCCGGGTCCTCTGCAAAAGCAGCCAGTGCTCTTAACCATTGAGCCCTCTCTCCAGCCCCCATTTTAGTCTTTCTAAGAGCTTTTTCTTTTTTTGTTTTTAAAAGATGATGTGATAGAGATCATATGTGGCCCAGGACAGCTGGAATATTTTCTGTGTTGTGCTTCCCTGGAAGGAGTCAGCACACCCTGGCCTGGGCCTTTGAGTGGGTTGCCGCTTGTCACGCGGGTCCACTTGAATGTTCACATCCCATGGAAACCTTTCTTAATTTCTTCTACCTATGGTTGTGTCGTTCATCTGCCTTAAGATAACCATTCTCCAGCCGCACTATTAATAAAATTCTGTTGTGTTTATAGTGTACCAGAGAATGTTCTGGCTTCTTGAGATCCTACAATGATGACTTGGTGGTAGGGGAAATAGATTAGAGTCATGAAGGTTGAAAGGCCAGCCTGGTCTACATAGTGAGTTCTAGGACAGCTGGAGCTACAGGGAGACCCTTTCTCAAAAAGACCTAAAAATAAAAATGGCAACAAACCAGGCACAGTGGTCCATGCCTCATGTCTCAACCCTAGGGAGGCTAATGCAGGAGGATTGAGATTTGATCAAGCTGGACTACATAAATCCTGCCTGTTTGTCTATTTTTTTGTGGTGCTAGAGCTGGAACCCATAGCCTCACACATGCTAGGCAAGCATTCTACCACAGAGGTACATTCCCAGCCCAAGTGAGACCGTATATCAAAAGGTAAAACAAAAATTTACTACATAAAAACAAATGCTGCCAGGCGTGGTGGTGCATGCCTTTAATCCCAGCACTTGGGAGGCTGAGGCAGGTGGATCTTTGTGAGTTTGAGGACAGCCTGGTCTACATAGTTCCAGGACAGCTGGAACCCTGTCTCAAAGACAATAAAATTGTGTTGGGGGCTGGAGAGATAGCTCAGCCGTTAAGAACACTGGCTGTTGCAGAAGACTCAGGTTCGAATCCAGCACACACATGGCAGCTAACAACTGCCTATAACTCCAGTTCCAGGGGATCTGACAGACTCTTCTAACCTCTGCAGGTATTGCACGACATGGGTGCACTTACCTACATGCAGGCAATACACGCATACACATAAAATTTTTTTAAGTTAAATTCATTTTTATATAGTATCTGTCAATTCATAAAGACCAATGACTCAACAGGAAAATTAGAAGAGTATATATTCCTAAGAAACATTCTTAGAAAATGTAAGTGACTCTTAAATATGTGAAAAAAAGCTGGGTGTGCTAGTGCATGCTTTTAATCCAGCACTCAGGAGGCAGAGGCAGGTGGATCTTTGTGAGTTTAAGGCCAGGCTGGGGCTACAGGGAGACCCTGTCTCAACCTGCCTCCCTCCCCCAAAATGTGAAGAACTAACACAGTACCATTTATACATTCTATAATTGGTAAAGGTAAAAGGGTTTTTCTGTTTTTGTGTATGCCTGGGAAAGTTAGGGCTACTGGGAGAGTATGAGGAAGAAACATTCTCAGAGTTTAGGATGAATAGAAAACTAAAAGTAGAGATAAACTTGGCAATCCTACCTGTAAGGATTTTTGTTTTTGTTTTTTGAGACTCAGTCATCTAAGGGTGACCTTGCAATTCTAATCCTCCTGCTTCAAATGCTGGGATGAGGGATTTGCAGGCGTATTCCAGTCATGCCCAGTTCTTCATGTTTTCAATCCTCGGGATTGAATCTGGGATTTCAGGCATGCTACTAGGCATAATCAGGCACTCTTGTCACTGACATAAAGTCCCAGTCCCTTGCTTTGGTTTTTGAGGCAAGGTTCCATATAGCCAGACTATGTAGTCAGGATGACTGAATTTGTGATCCTCCTGCCTCTGCCTCCTAAGGATTGGTATTACAGATGGGTTAACCACCACTCCCAGTTTATTCCATGCTGGAAATTGAAGGTAGGGATTCCTGCATGCTCGCAAGTATTCTATCAACTGAGCCACATCCTCAGTCCTCCAGTCCTTTATACTTTGAATTTTGAGACAGGGTTTTATTTAAGTTTTCCATTCATGCCTTGAACTTGCAGTCCTGCCTCAGCCTCCTGAGTAGCTAGATTTAAAGGCCTGCACCCCCAGACCCAGCTCTAGGGTTACTAAAAGGTCTCTCATATGATACAGAATAATATGTACAAAGAAACACTTGGAACACAAAGCCAGGTGAGCAAGTGGATTGTGAATTTGAGGATGGCCTGGTCTGCATAGTGAATTCTAGGCCAGCAAGTCTCAAGAAAAAAAAGGGGGGGGGGCTGGAGAGATGGCTCAGTGGTTAAGAGTACTGACTGCTTTTGCAGAGGACCCAGGTTCGATTCCCAGCACCCACATGGTGGCTAACAACCATCCATAACTCCAGTTCCAGGGGATTCCGATGCCTTCTGACCTCCGCGGGCATTGCATAACACAGCGCACTTACATGCAGGCAATACACTTAATACACATAAAAATAAAACTTTATTTTTATGTTATGCTATTTAGCTCAATAGCAAACACAAGGCCCTTAAATCACATAAAATATTTATTTTTATTTTATGTGTATGTGTGTATTGCCTGCATGTAAGTGCACCCATGTCCTGCAAAGCCCTCAGAGGTCAGAAGAGGCTGTCGGATCCCCTGGAACTGGAGTTACTGACAGTTGTTAGCTGCCATGTGGGTGCTGGGATTCGAACCTGGGTCTTCTGCAAGAACAACCAGTGTTCTTAACTGCTGAGCCATCTCTCCAGCCCCAATAAAATGTTTTTTTTTTAAAGTTAAATACAAGATGTAAAATAGCATGTATCCTGTACAATCGTTTGTCCAAAAATAAATGTATTTACAAAGTAATCTCGAGGAAAAGGGGAAGTTGCCAGTGGGAAGAGAAGCTGGGCAGCTGAAAAGGAGCGGAGCGATTTCTCTGTGTGTTCTGTGATGCCTAAGCAGGATGGGATTTATTAGATTTTTTTCTGGGCATTGTGCACACCTTTAACTTCACGACTCCAGGCCAGAAGCAGATCAGTCTCTGAGATGCAGGCCAGCCAGGTCTACATAGAGCATTCCAGATCAGCTAGAGCTACACAGTGAGACTGTCTCAAAACAACAAAGGGGTTGGGGTAAGCTCAATAGCAAACAGAAGGCCCTGGGTTAGGTCCTCAGCACAGAGGGCCAGGGGGACAAAAAATTAGGAGTGCTGAGGTTACAGATCTGTGCTACCACATCTAGCTTTTAACGTGGGTCCCAGGGATTGAACTGGAGTCATCAGGCTTATGCAGCCAGGGCCTTTACCCTCTGAGCCATTTTAGGGCACAAGTGGTTGGTGCATTGCCACAGTGTGCATGTATCAGAGGACAGCTTGCATGAGTTGGTTCTCTCCTACCGTGGGTTCCAGGGATTAAACAAGTAATTGGGCTTAGTGGCAAGTGCTTTTACCCACTGAGTCATTTCATCAGACCTAAAAGACATTTTTGGTAGAGAACTTAAGCTGAAGGATTAAGAGGAACGAGGCACTGGGGAAGAAAGACACCAGAAAGCAGGGGTGTGAGGTGCTCAGAGAGTCTCCTCTCTGTACTTTTGAATTTTCAATCATGTTGAATATATCTTCCAGTCAAAATAAATATTCTTAAATTATTTCAAGATGTTGATGGAATCAAACTAAAGCCCCCCAGGTTAAAGTAGATTTAAATCAAATCCCCCAGACTGAAGAAAAATATTCAGAACAAGGAAGTAAGAAGTAAAATAATTCTAACTGTTGAAAAAGAGCTGACCTTTTCATGCTCCGGACATCACCAGAGACTTCCCCCGCCACACACTGTTGCCGGCCCCCTTCCACTATTGCCGGTTGCTGCCGGCCCCCTCCCACTGCTGCCGGTTGTGGTTTGTGGTTTCTGCCTTTAAAAATCGCCTGTAAGCTGAGCTCGGGACTGCTGTTCTCTCACTCTCCTGAGTGAGGCAGGAGCCCGTCTGCACAAACGATTAAATCCTCTTGCTTGTTGCATCTCCTGGTCTGAGGACTGAGTTATTGGGGTGCAGCCTCCCATGGACTGGGTACCCCAGCTTGGGGGTCCTACAATGTATATAAAGCTCAGCCTATACCATGCCATGTGGCCTTTGTTTTTTACCTGTTAAGCTTTTTAAATTTTTTATTAGTATATATTATACATAATGAGCTTTATTATGACATTTTCATACATGTATTTTGATACTATTTGTACACACCTGTTACCCTCTTAATGGCATAGCCCAAGCTGGCCTTGAACTCATGATTTTCATACCAGCCTGCACCATCACAACTGGCAAGTTAAAAGAATTATAAATCAGGAAGGATTTTTCAGCATGGAAAAAAATAAGCATTAAAAGGTTTTTTTGATTATTTGCTTTAATATATTTTTTAATTGCATGAATCAAAATTTAGACTTTCCAGATAGGATTTGTCCTAGTTTGTTTCCCCATAGCTGTGATAAAACACTCTACTAACAACTTGGGGAGGAAAGGGTTTGTCTTACATCTCCCAGGTTGCAGTTCATCAGGGAGCCCAAGGTAGGAACTCAGAGCAGGAACCTGGAGGCAGGAGCTAGACCACAGACCATGGAGGATCACTGCTTACTGGCTTGCTCCCCTGGCCCCTGCTCAGCCTGCTTTCTTATGCAACACAGGCCCACCCGCCCAGGGTTGTCACCACACACAGTGGGCTGAGCCCTCCCACATAACTCATCAAGAAGATGCCCCTCAAACATGGCCACAGGCCAGTCCAATGAAAGCAATTCCCCAACTGAGGATCTCTCAACCCAGGTGTGTCAGTTGACACTAAAACTCTCCAGCACAAGATTGTAGCAGACCCATAATCCTGCTATGAATAATGAGAAAAGTTGGATTAAAAATTTTAAGGTACAGAGGTTGGAGAGATGGCTCAGCGGCTAAGAGCTGATTCAACAGCTGTAAGCAACCTTTCCCCACCCAAGCTCCTATAGGTAGCACCAATAAACTCACGCACACACATACACACACATACAAAAAAAATGCCCACAAACCTATAACAGGTCTGTACGCTATATCCCAAAGACCATATCTGACCTACTGCCTACTTACAGAGACTGTAATGGCTTTTAAATTATGTATTTGATTAATCCATATGCATTTAATCTATAAGGAATTAAAGATAGAACTAGTAATTTATGTGGGGGCGTGCACAAATGCCACAGTGCCTGTGTGAAGGTCAAAGGACAACTTTTGTAAGTCAGTTTGCCTGCCATCTGTTTTAGTTGGAGTGCTTTGGACTCCAGGCTAGCTGGCCTCCAACTTCAGGGTGATTCTCTTGTCTCTGGTCTCCAGTCTCACTTTAGGAGTGCTGAGATTACAGATCTGTGCCACCTTAACAAGCTTTTTTTTTTTTTTTTTTTTTTTTTTTTTTTTTTTTTTTTTTAAAAAAAAAAAAGAGGACGATAAATCTCCCGGAACTCTCTGTAGATCAGGCTGGTCTTGAACTCACAGAGATCCACCTGCCTCTGCCTCCTGAATACTGGGATTAAAGGCGTGAGCCACCACGCCCAGTTTAACAAAATTTTAACGTGAATACCAGGGATTGAACTGGAGTCCTCAGGTTTAGGCAGCTAGAGCCTGTACCCACTGAGCCATCTTCAGCCCCAGGACTAATTCTTTTGTTGTGGGTGGTGGGTTTTGTTGTTGTTTGCTTGTTTTTGAGGATTTTTAATACAGTCCAGATGAGGGAGTCTGGTTCATTTCTGCTCCTTCACTACCAAACCAGGGGGCAGGGCTTGCTTCAGCTTCTCTGCCTTTTCCTTGTCTGTGATAGCCAGGGTTTAAAGGTACCCATTTGTATCAAACTTAGAACTTCACATTACCCTTGTTTTTCTGAATCTTGATGAATTTGGCATCCTTTTCACCCGGCTATGAGCAGAAAGTCCTTGATTTCCTCAGTTTTCCAAGGTATAACTGGGAGGTTGAAGCTCAAGAGTGACCCCCCAGAATCTCACAGTGGCAAGAACCAAGAATGGAAAGCATTTGCTTGCTCTTGAGACACAGTCTCATGTAGCCCAGTATAGGAATGACTTTTACAATATTGACATACTCTGGACAAATAACTTTTGCCTAATCAAACCTAATGATTTTTACCTACAACCAAAAAGTCAACAAGTTCACTGAATCATGTTTCTCTTGTGACCTGGGCATATGATCTTAATCCTTCATGACCCTTCCAGGCCCTGATTAAAATAATGCAAGTATGTGTGTGTATATATATGGTGCCAATATCATTTGTGTTGTAAACAATAGATGGGATTCAATTGATTATGTCTATTGATGTGTGTGTGTGTGTGTGTGTGTGTGTGTTTAGGTCTAGGGATCAGAAAGGGCCAAATTCTCTTATAAGGGTCAGACTTTTCCTTCCCCATTTCATGCTGGATATACTGTTTCAATAAAACAAAGAGTGGGCCCTTGTTCAGGAGCACAGTTCCAAGAGAAATCTGAAGCAACAGGTTCAGCAGCTTGAAATTTTTGTTTTATTTTGGGGGGTTTGGGTTTTTAAAAATATTGTATTTATATTTTATGATTACGAGTGTATTGCCTGCATTTGTGTAAGTGCACCTGTGTCATGAAATGCCCTCAGAGGTCAGAAGAGCATGTCAGATCCCCTGGAACTGGAGTTACAGATGGTTATTAGCTGCCATGTGGGTGTTGGGAATTGAACCTGGGTCCTCTGCAAGAGCAGCCAGTGAGCCACTGAGCATCTCTCCAGCCCCTGATTTTTGGTTTGTTGAAACAGGGTCTTCTTGTAATCACAGCTGGCTTGGAACTCACTATATTGACTAGGCTGGCCTCCATCTCCCAGAAATACTCCTGCCTCTGCCTCCCAAGTGTTGGGATTAAAGGGGGTAAGCTACCACACCCAGCTGCTTATTTGGTTTTTTTTTGTTTTGTTTTGCTTTGTTTGTTGAGGCAAGATCTCACTGTATGCTTAAGGTTGTCCTGAAACTTATTGTTTAGTAAAGCCTGAACTCAAATTCATGGCAACCTCCTGCCTTACCCCCTAGCCCTTACCTTGGCCAAGTGCAGGAATTACAAGTGTAAGCAAGCCACTACATTTGGTTTACAACTTGAACTTTTTCCTTTTTTCTTTGTTGATTTTAAATTATTTATTTATTTGTTTGTGTTTCTTTGTTTGTTTCTGTTTTTGCTTTCAGACGGGGTCTCCCTGTAGCCCCAGCTGGCCTGGAACTTGCTTTGTAGACCAGACTGGCCTCAGTCTCACATAAATCTGTGGGGAGCCGCCTGCCGTCCCTGCAGATGCCATTACAAGATGGTGCTCACATCCGGTTCATGCTGAGCAGTAAATAAGTCAGTATGCATGCCCGAAGTAATTTTCCACCTTCTAGTCTCTGCCTACCTCGTGGCATGATATGGGCTGATGAGTTTGCGACCAATCAAGAGTTGCCACGTCCAAGACGGGCTTACTAACCTATATAAGGGCTGGGTTTCCGACATTCGGGGTCTTCGCCCTGTAAGCTTATGCTCTCCCTCTCAAGATGCATTAAAGCTTTTCTGCAGAAGGATCCTGAGTGTGCCGCGTCGTTCTTGCTGGCGAGACGATAGCACGGGACAACTGGTGCTGAGACCCGGGAATTCGACCAAACCATCGTCGGCACCATCGGAGACCCCTTGAGTTCAAGGAGGATTCAGAACTGCAGGTAAGGACGTTCAGAGAGGTATGTTTTTTCTGGACTTTGGCTTGAACCTGTTTCCGCCTTGGAAAGGTAGCTTTGAGGCCTTGGTTATCATTCTGGGAGCACTTATAGTTTTGTTGTATAAAACATGCCAGGCCGTTGTGGCGGAAAGTCGAAATGTTCTTGAGGAAGTCCAGGATAGCATGTCAGAAACTGAACGCAGTGAGAGGTTAGGTGCACGAAAAAAGAAACGGGCCCCAAATAAGGAAAATGGCCCTCCCTGAAGGTCTGTTGACAAGGGAGCGTATTTTAAAGAGCCTAGAGATTCTTTGCCTGTCGAGAGGCCGGACAAAGGGACTAGTATATACCCCGTCCGAGAACTAAAGGCTCTGCAATTAAGTAGTTCAGGAAGCCCTGGGAGCTCTGAGGACGAGAGCCTTGACCCGGAGGAGGAGGCGGAGCTAGATGAGGAAGTAGCGAAGTATGAGGAAGAAAGATATCATCCAGATGATCATGTACAAGGCAACAAGAGACACCAAAAACATTCACATTCTGTGATGGCCGCTTCACAAGTGGCCCCCTCAGCGTCCCCTCCGTATGAGGTCCGCCGAGGATCTTTTTCCCTCCTATCTGATAAAGTGCGGAGGAAGTTACGTTCGGCCTTCCCTGTCTTTGAAGGCCTAGAGAATGGGCGGGTATACGCACCCGTGGAATATAATCAAATAAAGGAATTAGCAGAGTCAGTCAGAAAGTATGGCGTCACCGCCAATTTCACATTGGCACAATTGGACAGGCTGGCGAGAGACTCCATGACACCTACTGATTGGCAAACAATAGCCAAGGCCACGCTTAACAGCATGGGCCAGTTTATGGAATGGAAGGCCCTTTGGCATGAAGCAGCTCAAGAACATGCCAGGGCCAATGCTATATCTTTGACACCAGAACAGCAAGAATGGACTTTTGACATGCTGACAGGGCAGGGATGCTATGCAACCAATCAAACAAATTTCCTCTGGGGAGCATACCAACAAGTCTCGAGCACTGCCATCAGGGCCTGGAAGGCACTCTCTAGGAAGGGTGAGGGAGGTAACCAATTAACAAAGATTATACAAGGAGCTCAAGAGCCTTTTTCTGATTTTGTGGCTAGGATGACGGAGGCGGCAGGGCGCATTTTTGGAGACTCTGAGACAGCCATGCCTCTTGTCGAACAGCTTGTCTTTGAACAAGCCACTCGGGAATGCCGTGCCGCCATTGCCCCTAGAAAAAACAAAGGGATGCAGGACTGGCTTAGGGTTTGTAGAGAGTTAGGGGGCCCTCTTACCAATGCAGGGCTGGCAGCAGCCATTTTACAGTCCCAGAGACGCCCCCCTAAGGGGCCCGAAAAAAGGGTCTGCTTTAACTGCGGAAAGCCCGGACACATGAAAAGAGACTGTAGAAATCAGAGGGCCCCCCCTGCTCTTTGCACCCGCTGCGGCAAGGGCTATCATAAGGCAGACCTATGTCGCTCGGTTAGGGATTTGAGAGGTAATGTCCTCCCTCCTAAGGCAACCTTTATCAATGAGGATCCAAAAAACGGGGCAGCGGGCCAATGGTCCCAGGGCCCACAAAAATATGGGAACCGGTTCATCAGGCCCCGGAGAAAGCCCCCTTGGGGATGACACAAGACTGGACTTGCGCGCCTCCTCCGATTTCTTATTGATGCCTCAAATGGGAGTGCAGCCCATACCTGCCTGTTTGCCCGTACCATTTCCTCAAGGGACTGTAGGGCTCCTTCTGGGCCGAGGGTCACTCACCCTGCAAGGATTGATTGTTCACCCTGGCATAATTGACAATCAGCGTACCCCTGAGGTTCAGGTTTTGTGCTCTAGCCCTAAAGGCATATTTTCTATCAGTAAAGGGGATAGGATAGCTCAGTTGCTACTCCTTCCAAGTACCCACCAGGAATTTAGAAATAGGCCGATGGGATCCTCGGGTCAGGACTCAGCCTATTTAGTTGTCAGCCTACAAAATAGGCCGAAGCTGCTCCTACAGGTTAATGGTAAGAGTTTTGAAGGCATCCTAGATACTGGGGCAGATAAGAGCATCATCTCTTCCCATTGGTGGCCGAGGTCTTGGCCGATTACCGAGGCTTCCCATTCATTACAGGGTTTGGGTTATAGTGCCCATCCCACAATCAGCTCTTCCGCCCTCACTTGGAAGACGGCGGAAGGGCGGGAGGGAAGATTCACTCCTTATGTCCTCCCTTTACCTGTCAACCTATGGGGACGGGATGTTATGCACGACCTCGGGCTTACTCTGTCCAATGAATATTCACCACAAGCAATCCAAATATGAAGAAAATGGGGTATGAGAGAGGAAAAGGGCTGGGGTGTTGTGAACAGGGGTGTACAGAACCCATAGCACCCAACCCAAATCAAGGCAGACAAGGCCTGGGTTTTTCCTAGGTGCCACTGAGGCAGTACGGCCCATACCATGGAAAACGGAGGCTCCGGTGTGGGTTCCTCAGTGGCCTTTGACCTCCAAAAAATTGGCTGCAGTAACTGATCTGGTCACTGAGCAGCTGGCTTTGGGGCATATAGAGCCATCTACCTCCCCTTGGAATACCCCGATTTTTGTGATAAAAAAGAAATCTGGAAAATGGAGGTTATTACATGACCTAAGAGCTATTAATGAGCAAATGTATCCCCTTGGGGCAGTGCAGCGGGGACTTCCGGTCCTCTCTGCTCTGCCTAAGGATTGGAACTTAATCATTATAGATATAAAGGACTGCTTCTTTTCTATCCCCCTGCATGTCTCTGACAGGCAGCGCTTTGCTTTTACCATCCCTTCAATTAATCATATGGAGCCAGATAAGAGATTTCAATGGAGAGTGCTGCCTCAAGGGATGGCCAACAGTCCCACCATATGTCAACTGTATGTACAGGAGGCTCTAAAGCCTATTAGAGAAAAATTTCCTGCGATAACTATTATTCATTACATGGATGATGTGCTCATGTGTCATCAAGAGCGAGAGACCCTTGAAAAAGCTTACCCACAGCTGGTGAAAGCTTTGCAATACTGGGGACTTCAAGTCGCCACTGAAAAGGTCCAGTTTTCTGATACAGGCCAATTCCTGGGCACTGTTATTCTCCCTGATGTGATTCGTCCACAAAAGATAAAAATTTATAGAAAAGATTTGTGCACTTTAAATGATTTCCAAAAATTATTGGGAGATATTAATTGGCTTCGCCCATTTCTCAAAATTCCCACAGCGGATTTAAAACCTCTTTTTGACATTTTGGAGGGGGACACCCATATTACTTCCCCTCGATCCTTGACCCCTGCTGCGGAAACAGCACTCCTCCTAGTAGAGGAGGCAATAGAGAAAGCACAGTTACGTCGCATTAACAGCTCTCAACCTTTTTGTCTCTATGTTTTTAAAACAAGAAAGCTGCCCACTGCGGTTTTATGGCAGGAAGGACCCCTGTTATGGGTTCACCCGAACGCTTCCCCCCAAAAAATAATTGACTGGTACCCCACGGCTATAGCTCAACTTGCACTTAAAGGCTTAAAATTGGCTATAGAACACTTTGGCAAGCACCCTACATCTATCTTGGTCCCCTATAATTCCTCTCAGGTGCAAACATTAGCTGCCACCTCAAATGACTGGGCCATACTAGTTACCACCTTCTCGGGGAGAATTGATAATCACTATCCAAGGCATCCTTTGCTGCAGTTTGCAGCCCTCCATCCTGTAGTCTTTCCCCGAGTTACATCTCCCATTCCACTGAAAGAGGGATTGATGATATATACAGATGGCTCCAAGAATGGGAAGGGGGCATATGTCATGGGTTCCAAGGTGTTCTCACGACAATATGCAGAAACCTCTCCTCAAATAGTAGAATGTCTGGTTGTGTTGGAGGTTCTTCAAAAGTTTTCAGGTCCTCTTAATATTATTTCTGACTCATCCTATGTAGTTAATGCAGTTGCTGTGCTAGAGACAGCTGGTGTTATAAAACCAACCAGCAGGGTGGCTGCCCTTTTTCAGAAAATACAAGATTGTTTATTTAAGAGGAGTACACCCTTTTATATTACACATATTAGGACCCATTCGGGCCTCCCTGGACCAATGGCCCTTGGCAATGATTTAGC